GTCCGTCCGCGGGGCTGCTGCTTCGGGCGTGGAAACTACCGCTGCGCTGCAAAAAACATGGACGGATGTGGAGGTGTCGTGCTTGGGGACTGACGGTAGGTTGAGTTGGCGTCCCTCCGGCGAGAAGGATTGGCGAAGGTGTGCGAAGAAGCCTGGAGAATACGAGAGCGTCACGGATGACTGCGCACGGCTGTGCGATGACGCTGGAGAATTCTACACGTCGAATATCACCGGGCGTTGCCCTCCTGAGGGTGCTGGGAAGGATTTTGCCCTCACGATGCGATTTGCGACGTACGGGAATATACAAAACTGCACTTCGGCGCCGGCAGAAAATCGTCCTCAGTTGGGCGCTGGCGATGCGCAACCAGGCCAGTCGCAACCACAGGCCGGAGCCGCGGCTGCACCGAAAACAGCGGGTGATGATGACCTGAGACGGAGCGGCGTTAGCGGTCCGCCGGGAAAGGCAGCCGCGACACCACAGAATAAGCCGCCTGACCACACAGACAAGGTCAGGGTTCCTTCAAGGCCGAGCGAAAACGCCGCCGCCACTGCGTGGGTGCGCATGCCCCTGCTGCTGCTCCTCACCGTCCTTGTCTGTGCCGCTGTGCGGTGATTAGGATTAGTCATACACGTCCTTGCGGGGACGGCTCGTAGTGTATGTGTGTTTCTTTTTTTTTCTTTTGCTTTTGCTTTGTCACCCCACGCACATCCTCATGGGTGACGCACCCTCCCCCTCCTGTTTGCTTCTGTTACCCACACGCGGTGCCGGCCTCGTGAGTGCGCGTCTCATGGATCAGTCCAATGAGAGACGGGGCCGAGGGCACCATGAACCACAAGTGTGATGTGCGGATGTGAGTGTGACCATATAATCAATCAATCTTTGTTGTTGTTGTTCGGGCAAAGATGATAGATACACGCGGCCAAATAACAAAGGATATTTTTTGAGTTTTTATTTTGTTTGCTTTTTTGTGTTTCGTGTGGGGCCTTCATTCTTTCTGTTTTCTTTGCCTTTTTCTGATGCTTTGGCCCTCTCGCAGCTGGTTGGGCTCCTGTGCCGCAGCCTCCGCCCCGTCTGTGGCCCAGCTGTCGAACTCCTCTTATGGATTTGTGCTGGCATGCCTTTCATTTTTTTAAATTTTTGCTTTGGGTGCGGATAGCAAGACATAGGCACAAATGCACTGTTAGGACGCTGCGGCGGCACCGCTCCCCTCGACGATGCCGGTGCTGCGTGCGGCTGCTGTCTCCCTCCGCGGCCCTGGGGAGGGGGAGATGGGGGCCACGGAGAGACTGCACTGCGGTCTCCCCCCTCCCCTGCGTGTGCGTGGGGCGCGGCGTGGGTGCCCCGTCATGGGTGGCTGGGGGTCTGCTTCGGCGTTGGACTGGTGGTGCGGGTGCTTGCCCGGACGCGTTGTGCTGGCTGCTGGTGTGTGGCCATATGCGGGGCGGCGAGAATGAACTGGAGGAGACGGTGGTGGTGGTGGGTCTCCTCTTGTCCGTGGTGGGTGTCTGCTTGCGTCGTGTGCGCTTCGTGTGAGGACGCGGTCTCCTGCTCTGCGAGCTCGGTGTGCTGGGCTGCCGCCTCCCTTCTCTCTTTGTGCCGTCTCTATCCGCTGAACTCCCTCCTTCTCTTGACTCTCTCTTTTTTATTTTGCTGCCTCATAGATCAGCTGACTGACTCCAGCGACTCTACGACGAATGATGATGATGGCGACTGTGCGGCGCCGTGTGGCGTGCTACCTGCTGGTCCTTGCGCTCTTGTGCAGCAGCAGCTGCATGTCCGTCCGCGGGGCTGCTGCTTCGGGCGTGGAAACTACCGCTGCGCTGCAAAAAACATGGACGGATGTGGAGGTGTCGTGCTTGGGGACTGACGGTAGGTTGAGTTGGCGTCCCTCCGGCGAGAAGGATTGGCGAAGGTGTGCGAAGAAGCCTGGAGAATACGAGAGCGTCACGGATGACTGCGCACGGCTGTGCGATGACGCTGGAGAATTCTACACGTCGAATATCACCGGGCGTTGCCCTCCTGAGGGTGCTGGGAAGGATTTTGCCCTCACGATGCGATTTGCGACGTACGGGAATATACAAAACTGCACTTCGGCGCCGGCAGAAAATCGTCCTCAGTTGGGCGCTGGCGATGCGCAACCAGGCCAGTCGCAACCACAGGCCGGAGCCGCGGCTGCACCGAAAACAGCGGGTGATGATGACCTGAGACGGAGCGGCGTTAGCGGTCCGCCGGGAAAGGCAGCCGCGACACCACAGAATAAGCCGCCTGACCACACAGACAAGGTCAGGGTTCCTTCAAGGCCGAGCGAAAACGCCGCCGCCACTGCGTGGGTGCGCATGCCCCTGCTGCTGCTCCTCACCGTCCTTGTCTGTGCCGCTGTGCGGTGATTAGGATTAGTCATACACGTCCTTGCGGGGACGGCTCGTAGTGTATGTGTGTTTCTTTTTTTTTCTTTTGCTTTTGCTTTGTCACCCCACGCACATCCTCATGGGTGACGCACCCTCCCCCTCCTGTTTGCTTCTGTTACCCACACGCGGTGCCGGCCTCGTGAGTGCGCGTCTCATGGATCAGTCCAATGAGAGACGGGGCCGAGGGCACCATGAACCACAAGTGTGATGTGCGGATGTGAGTGTGACCATATAATCAATCAATCTTTGTTGTTGTTGTTCGGGCAAAGATGATAGATACACGCGGCCAAATAACAAAGGATATTTTTTGAGTTTTTATTTTGTTTGCTTTTTTTTATTATCGAAGCGTCCTGTTGGTGTGTTTTGGTTGGAATGTTTTTCAGACTTTTTTTTTTAAATGTATTTCAATAGTTTTGGGTTGTTTTTGTTCATTTTTTTTTGTTCTTATCATAATTTTTTTTGTTTATGGTTTAATTTGTTTGACGCTGACTTTGTGGCATTGTGCAGTAGTAAGGTATCAAGGAGGCGGAAAAACAATTTGTAAAATTTTTAAGCAAAAGAGGCCTTCAAATTTCGAGGTGTATTTGACGATTTGTGAGGAATTATTGCGGTGGCGACATGATGCGTTGGATCGTTCCGGTTGCGGCTGCATCGCGGGTTCCTTTCGTGAATTGCCGTGTCGCAGCGACGTCTGTGTTGCAGCAGCGACGGGGTCAATCCGATATTCCTTTACGACGGCTTCTTTACGAAAATGATAATTTTCTTAGCGGTTCGGCAGCGATGTATCTTGATTCCTTGTATCAGAGCTGGAAGGAGGACAAGACATCCGTGGACCCCTCGTGGGACGCTATTTTCAGTGCGGGGGGGCTGCCGTCGTATGAAACACCGCTCCTGAGTTCTGCTGTTCGAGTCCTGCCAACGACATCGGAAGACGCGGTTACGGTGCAGCAGTCATTAACAGATTGCGGTCGGCTGACGTGGATGATTCAGGCGTTTGAAGATCGTGGCCACCTCAGGGCTTCCATTGATCCGTTGGGCTACGAATCTGACGATTCTATTAGCCGAAGCTATTCGCGCAAGTATAAAGAGGTGCTGCGTCTCGATCTCGCCTCCTTTGGGTTCACACCGGATGACTACAACCGTGTGGTGCGGGTCGGTTTCCAGGACGAGGTGGGTGGCGTGCTGAACACCAACAGCCGTCCAATGACGATCAAGGAACTGCACGAATACCTCACTATGCGTTTTTGTGGCAGAGTTGGCTACGAGTTGTCGCATATTGCGGACGTTGATGTCGCCCGCTTCCTGCGTGAGGTGGTGGAGACAGGGGATGGCGGATACAATCCCTTGCATCGCAGTCTCAGTAAGGAGGAACGCCTGTGGGCCTGGGACTTGGTTGCCTCTTCCGTTCACTTTGAGGACTTTTTTAAACGCAAGTACTCGACCCAAAAGCGGTTTGGTGCCGATGGGGCGGAGTCTCTCGTCATTGGCTTGCGTGCACTTATGGACGCTTCCTCCAAACAAGGTGTAGAGAAAATAAACATTGCTATGGCACATCGTGGTCGTCTGAATGTCCTTTATCATGTCATTGGCAAGCCGTTTCCTGTGATACTGAAGGAATTCGTGGGAATCACGGGGAAGGAGTTGGAGCCGTTCAAGATTCAGTCGGATGTAAAGTACCACCTGGGGGCGCGATCGACCATGACGATGCGAAATGGAAAGCCAATGGACACGGAGCTGCTTTCCAACCCATCGCACCTCGAGGCGGTGAACCCTGTCCTGCAGGGATATACCCGGGCGGCACAAGCATCGCTGGGGAAAGATGGATCTTCCACTGTGTTGCCGGTTGAAATTCATGGCGATGCCGCCTTCAGTGGTCAGGGCATTGTTTTTGAAACGATGTGCATCAGCGAGGTTGAAGAATACAGTACGGGGGGCACCGTTCATGTGGTGGTGAATAATCAAATTGGGTTCACCACAGACCCTAAGTCCTCTCGTAGCAGCGCGTACTGCACAGACTTGGGTCGCGTGTTTCAATGCCCCATTTTTCACGTAAATGGGGACTCGGTGGAGGATGTTGTTCGCGTATTTGAGTTTGCTGCAGATTTTCGAGCGAAGTTTAAAAAATCGGTTGTCATTGATCTTGTCTGCTACCGCCGGTTTGGCCACAATGAAAATGATGATCCGACAATTACACAACCCCTCATTTACAGCCGCATTAGCGCAATGGGTGACTTGTTTAATAAATACTCGGGGGAACTGATTGCGTCGGGTGTCATTACGCCACAGCAGCAGACAGCAAAATCGATTGCGGAAAAGGGACGCTATGGCAATTTCCAGGCGGAGGTGCCTCTTGTACATTACAGCAGTTACCTCAAATCCTGCATCCCAGAAATGTGGAGGAGCATGAAATACTCGGATCAGTTAGGGGATGTTAAGATGGAGTCAACGGCTGTGTCTCGCGAACAACTTCAGCCTGTGTTGGATGCACTGAAAACGCTTCCGGAAGGCTTTGTTGTGCATCCCAAGTTGAAGAACGTGCTGGATCGCCGTAATGAGACACTGGAGAAGGGTGAAGGGATTGACTGGGGGACAGCAGAGGCATTGGCGTTTGGATCACTCGTGTTGGAGGGTACACATGTGCGCGTGATGGGGCAGGACGTGGAGCGCGGGACCTTTTCTCAACGTCATGCTGTCTTGCACAATCAGGAAAAGGTCGGCAAGTACGTTCCACTAGCAAACATCAGTAAGGATCAGGCCCCATTTATAATTACGAATGGTCCACTCAGTGAGTACGGCATGCTTGGTTACGCCAGCGGTTACTCCCTTTATGACCCGAACTCCCTCGTTATGTGGGAGGCGCAGTATGGAGATTTCGCAAATGGTGCCACCATCATATTTGACCAGTTCATTTCCGCTGGGGAGTCCAAATGGAATCAGCAACAGGCTGTCATCGTGTCACTTCCACATGGCCATGATGGGAGGGGTGCAGAACACAGCAGCGGTCGTATTGAACGCTTCCTGCAGGCCGTTGCGGAGGACGTTGATACCCCGGCATACTCTCCGGCGGAGCGTGCCCACCGTGTGAACATGGAGGTTGTATATCCCAGCACTCCCGCGCAGTACTTCCACGTTTTGCGGCGACACGTGCGACGAGACTTCCGCAAGCCGCTGATTCTCTTTTTCTCTAAACAGTTTATCCGCTCACCAAACGAATCCTCCATGGGTGACATCACATCGGGTACGTTCTGCCCTGTTATTGGGGATGCATCGGTGCCGCCGGAGAAGGCACGCCGCCTCGTGCTGTGCACCGGACAACTGTACCACATCCTCAATGCATGCCGCGCTAAGAATGGGAGCACCGATGTGGCTCTTGTTCGCATCGAGGAGCTTTCGCCATTCCCTGTGGCGGAGGTGCAGAAGTTACTGCTGGAATACGGCAACGCGGAGTTGATGTGGGCACAGGAGGAGCCGAGGAACCAGGGCGCGTACTATCATGTGGAGCCACGTATTGAATTTTACACAGGCGGTAAACGCGAGTTGAGGTACGCCGGTAGAGAAATCAGCGCGTCTCCGTCAACCGGCTACAAGAGCGCACACGACGCCGAGGAAGGCCACATTTGCGAGGTTGTTTTTGCGTAGCGGCATGATCCCCATCCCGTCTTCATTCCTTCATTCCTTTATTCCTTGCTGAAAATGTATTTACATGCGCACTCCCGTAGGAGGAAGAAGAAGAAGAAGAAGAAGAAGAATGTGTTTGTGGTGGTAGTGGTGGTTAGCCGCTAAATAATCGACCCTTCAAATGACGTTGGAACAGAAAAAAAAAAAAAAAAAATAATAATAATAGTATTCTTTAGGGAATAAAAACTAGAACCACAACATTATAAAATCAGATGCCTCTTTGTTTTTTAAGCGTTTGAGAAGAAGAAACGAGAAATATAAATATATATTTAAATACACACGAAAGGAATGTTTTTCTCAAATGATGAAACAAAAACCAAACACACACACACGCACACGGAAAAAAATATACAAATATATATATATATGTATATATATATGTATCTGCATACAAATATACACAGGCGTACTTCTTTATTTGCATATGTTATTTCACCTGTGCGTCGTGACGGTTTTGATGTTGTAATTGTTCTGTAGTAGGAAGGCGTGAGAAAAAAAAAAAAAAAAAAAAGTTAATTGTGGTGGCGGTGTTGTGTCGGGGCTTTTTTTTTTTTTTTTCTCTTTGTTCTTCTGCTTGCTCTGTTACCCCGTATGCGTATTTGTACATGTATAAAAATGTACGGGGGTTTTTTTTTTTCTTTCTTTTTTTTTTTTGTTTGTGTTTTTTTATGGGGCTTTTTGTAATGTGTGGGTTCCGTGACTTTGATGTGCGGTGGGAAATAAAAGGAGGAGGACACGCATGTGAATTGGCAGACACAAATACGGGAAAAGAAAAGAAAAGAAGGGCTTTTGTCTCTCTCTCTCTCTCTCTCTCTCTCTCTCTGGGGGTGTGTGTGTAAATAAAACGCCGAAAGAAACACCGGCGGCGGCCGAAGGAATTGGACGTCAATGAGTGAGAGAAAAAAAAAAAAAAAGAAAAGAAACGCATGCGTGAGGCGAACAAAAGGAAAAAAAAAAAAAAAAAAGATTGAAAAAATGAAGGAGGGGGGAAATGGATGCACCCAAATAAATTAATAATAATAATTATTAATTATTATTATTATTTTTTTTTTTGCAGTGCGATTTCTTTTTTTTTTTTTTTTCTTTTTTCTTTTTTTTTTTTTTTTTATTTGGTGGCACACGTCAGCGCCGCAAGGGAGGAGTGAGGCAGAGAAGAAAGGGGGAGGGCGGGGGGCGAGAAGGTAAATAAAAAACCAAAAACAAAAAAGGAAATAACAGGAGGAAGGGGGAAGGTGGGATCAGGTGAATTCCAAAAAATGTTGCAACGCTCCTTCTCTCTGCTGAGTATGGCTAAGCAGAAGGTCTATGAACTTCGTGTCTACGATATAATTCCGAATAAGTACGACACGTTTCATCGCATGTCGATGGAGCTTCTCCCATTACGAACGGCGGTGAGTAGGTGCCAAGGCTACTGGGTAGTGCAAATTGGCGGCCTCAACCAGATGGTACATCTCTGGGAGTACGACTCTCTGCGGCATCGCTACCAGATACGCAATAAGATTGACCGTGACACGGATTGGACGCGTCGCTACACGTATCCGCGTCAGGAATGTTTATCGTCGCAGACAAACATGTTGATGCGTATGACATACCGTGAAGGCAATGTCAGCACCAACAGCTTCAAGTACATGATGAAGATTACACCGGAGAAGGAGTTGGTATTGACAACGCCTGGGGTAACGTTGGCAGCTTCCTACCTTGTCACAATCGGTGAGCATGAGGGAAAGTACTTTCATCTTTTGAAGGGAATGATGCTGGATGACCTTCTGCAGGTGGAGTCGATACCTGGTAGCGTTTCGAAGATTATGGGTCCGGCACGCTGGTCCTCGTCAATAGGATGTATTTGGCGTTGACACGGGGACTATGTATGTCTGCTGAGTAAACATGTGATGGAGAACGCGGTTGGAGG